TAACGAACGAGATACGTTCCGAAGGATCGTTCGTTGGCTGAATTCGTACATAAGTTGCTTCAGTGCTATATTTTGTATGGAATGCATGTTTAAGGCTTATATAAGTATGTTAAAGGTTTATATAAGTGTAATAAAATGAAGTTTAACTTACTTTTGGAAGATGTACTCGAAGGCTTCAGGAGATGATGGAGGGGGAGAGAGTTCCGTCTCGAACTTCTTCATGGGGACAGGCGTTTCCTCCTCCTCCTCCTCCTCTCACAGCGCCTCACGTCGGTATTAGCGGTGGAAAGAAGTACTACAGTACTCGGAAAAAGGCGCGCAATACAAAATCTAACTGACAGCATCTCTGTCCGAGAACATTTTTCGACATACCTGTACCCGCAAAAATGTTCGTATGTACCGTTGTTCGCAACACGAAAGTTCGTAAAGCGGGGAGCGCCTGTAATTGAATTGTAGCCCCTGAATCATAATTGAATCGTAAAGTGCCTCAAGATTCCCAACCCTATTAAATTAATGCAAAATATTGAAATCAATAAATAATCATGTTTATCGCAATTTCAATATCAGTCCAAATAATCTGGATTCTTTTTCACACTATTGGCCAGCATTACGGAATGCAGTTTTGCTGATAGAAATGGAAGAATATATGGAGAGGAGGGAAGTCCAGCCTCCTATTTTCTTTTTCATGCTCCACTAGCATTTTAACAGCACAAGCACATTCTAACATGCTTAGTGTCTAATTTCTGTTCCCTCATCCGACTTTATTACTCGCAGAATAGGATGCATAATATAGATCATCATTAGTGTGATTTATTAGGCTGTCAAGCTTGCAGCAGCATCTAAGGGTGCTCTTTATATGGTAGATAAATATTGAATCACGTTTTATGTTTTCATTAGGTCTGCCTTGTTCCTGCATTATTATTTGACAAAGGTCAACAAGGTAGGGAAAAGGGCATTTGCTTTGGTTTATGCTGCTCCTGTCTACCTTATCAATGAAAACATATCTTGAGATATACATGTAAATGTTGAAACTGCAAAAGAAGAAATGTGGTTCGGTGCCAGTCTCCAGCGAAAAAGTAGCAATGCCTGATAACTGTCAGACAGATAATTCGACTGATAATGGGGCGGGGCCTGTCACATTCATCGTTCCGATACTACACAAAATTAGAGCAATATTAAAAACTGCCTCAAATCCAAAAATGTTGGTCTGGTTCCTGTCACTGAAAGCGCAGGGCCTCTGCTGCATGATGTCGGAAGTCATTTGGTGTCGCTGCACACTGCATTTCATTTCCCCACTCGACTTTATTGGTGCGCATGACTTAACAAGTAACAGTGCTTGTCGGAGGGCACCCGTCTATAAACGAAGGAGGAAAAAACTAAGCCATTGGTTGGCTTTAGTTTGGCCAGAGCATCTTATTTGAACAGCTTTTGTTTCCTTAAACGGCACAAGACCTTGTAGCATTTAAAAATGTCTGGCACAGCTTGGAATTTGTTGTGTCCAACCTCTGAACAAAACTTTCCAAACTATTAAAAGGTACTGATAAGCATCAGAGCTTTTGAGATCGCTCATCACATTATTGTCTGTCGTGCCAAGAACTCCAAAAGTAGAAAAACATGCAACTCAGCGAGTTTTTATGTCATCCTCCGATCTCGCTAAATTTGGAGGAGGCGTGAGTAAAAATATTTGTTTTTCTTTTAAACTGCAACAGCAGTTATATTGACGTATAAAAAAGTTAGTCGTATCAGTTTAGAGAAGCAGGAAGTTATTGGTTATCATATAGGTGGAAAAAAAAATTATCCTGCATCCCAACGACGGACGATAAAACGGTAGAGAGGGTAATTTCTACCTGCACTTGAATTTGCCTCATTTGCCATTAACAGTTCTGTCAGGTGTTTGTTTATATTCTAAAGCACATTTAGCATGCTTTTCTGTTGAATTGTAATTTGGCGTCATGGTACTCAGGGGACACTCAAACTTGATTTAGTGTGCACGAAAAGAAACTCCACACTGTGTGTGCCACTCTGTTGATTTTGGATCATCTGAAAGTCGACAGCAAAGCAATGGACTATTGAACCAAAACCCCCCGTGGCCACCTCACTTATCTGCTGCACTTCAAATATCGCTAATAAACATTCATAGTCATCCACGACCACCTCGGGGATTTTTTTTGGGCACTGAACTGTTTTATCTGGGTGTTAAAATTTTCTCTTTCAACCTTACTTGATCTCAACATAGGCAACAAAGTGGCCTCTCAATGATTGCAATTATTTGGTTGTACATTCAATGTCAGTTGACAGTTTCATCTGAGCTCATCCGCCTACTGGATCAACATTATTTTGGTGAACAATACTTACACTGAATATGTGCTAGTGGACATTGTGCCACTTAGCTACAGTAAACACAAAATGTATATGATCTTGGTCTTATTTCTTACAATTTCCAAGAGAAATGGTTAATTGCAGAAGCATGTCTTACAAACCCATGTGGTTGTAGTGGTTATGAAAAGCCTACACACATATACAAATGCTGTTTTTTCTCTGTGTAATGTAAAAGAAATGAGACCAAGATAAATCATTTCACAAACTTTTCCACCATTAACGTGACCCATAAACCTACACAGCTCAATCTTTCACAGAGGAAAATTAAAAGAAGCAACTGAGGTAATGTGGTTGCACAAGTGTGTAAACCCGCTAATAATGATGTAGCTGTGTGCAAATTTAACCAATCACATTCAAACTCAAGTTAAATGGGTGTCCGCACACACTTGCCACCATTCTAAGCGCCACTGATCAACCCCAAATAAGGTTAAGCTGTTCTAGTAGGCTTTACCTCTCATTTTTCTAGTCACATCTGTGTGTGTGTGTGTGTGTGTGTGTGTGTGTGTGTGTGTGTGTGTGTGTGTGTGTGTGTGTGTGTGTGTGCGCATCCAGTATATGAAGTATTTTTGCCAGTATATGAAGTATTTTTTGCAGGTATAGTATCGAACTCAACATTTTGGTATCATAATAAGACTAGTTGGTGCATTTTCTCCGCTGTAAATTTGAAATCATGCCTTGTTTTCGATTATTGGGATTAAATTAAAATTTGTGTTTTTAATCCGAAGTATCGAATCAACAAAGTCATTAACAGATGAATGGATTATTATTGCACTCCTAGTATGTTCTAATACGTCACATGGCCTCGGTGGTCTTACTTATTGCTGTCCTGGTAAGTTGCTCATTCCGTCTGTTAGACCTGCCACAATAGGAAAGTCTGACTTCAGTTAGGCATGCCTTTATTTGTAAGAAAACGCAATACATACACGCAAACTGTACTGAGAGTATGTTTATTTATGGGCATATTAAAACCCCAGTACTTGTTCATGCTAGTAGTGTTAAGAATACTCTTGTGTGCATTGTGCATGTGGACCTGCAGGCATATGCGATATGAGGGCTCTGTCAGGAAGTTGTGCAAAAATAGCAAACAGGATACATTCTTATTCTTCCCCATTATTGAATACGCTTATCTCTCCCCACTTGCTCCCTTGTGCAAGGAGGTACAAGCAGGCAGCTAATAAATATGCTTACTCTGCGCTCTCAAAATCCTGGAGGTCAGAATTCTTTAGAGGTCTGGGTGATGTTAAAATCTCAGTGAAGTTTTATGACTTGACCCAGGACAGGTTTGGAACGTTCTGGATCACGTTCCTTAACCTTACACCATAACTTAATTTACACGCACTGCAATTGATTGAAACAAGACAATATGTTTTTGTTTTGTTTTTTTTTCAAAAAGCATTTAAAATAATACGGACAATATTGAGGTTAGCATGTTGATTTGGCCCTCGTCAAGTGTTTCAGTTTCTCAGGTAGCCGCTTTGCAAAATTAATTGCCCACCCCTTCAATAAATGTCTCACCAAATGCAAAAGGTTGGTCAGTGCAACAATGCAATGTTTATTGGTGACAGTTAGTAAGGTTGTCAGGCTTCTTTTTGAATGAATGAATGACTGGTTTATTTCAGTTGTGTACACGGCATAGAAAAAGGAAATAAAAAGATCGTTATAAATATCGACACATCTGCAATGTTTTGCTGAGTGTGTGGCGATGTTTGTTGACTGTGTCAGTGCAGGGACTGAAGTGTTATAGGACATCTTCAGCTGTCTTCAAGCTTGCGTTACTGACAGAATCACACAACCTATCTGTCACAAAGCCAGGGAGCTTAGTGATTTCTACCTGAAGTCAGCAGTGCTTTCCAAAGTTTGGTTTGGAGAAAATCCAAAGAAAGTCTGCAAATGTTCACTCTTTTATTAGCCGTTTTTGTTTCTGTTTGTTTTATGTTGTTTGTTTATCTTAGATTATGTTCTTTTAGTAATTTCAGTTCGGTACTTTTTATTGCTTTGTGTTTTCAACTCTTGTTTATAAATGCCTTTAAATGTTGTACTTTTAATTAGGTAAAGCACATTGAGTTATCTTGTGTATGAAATGTGCCATAAACATAAACCTGCATTTCGTTTCCTGAAGAATGGATTAATATGTATCAACATTTTTGAGGCGCAATTTTTTTTCTACAGAAGAAAAAGCAGCTTTCTGTGTCAATTCCTACAGTTCAGTTTGGGTGTGGCTGCCTGAAACCGTTTCCCTCCATGTGACGTAATTCTACTTACCACATTGCTATGGCAACATGGTAAGCAAAAGCAACTCACAGGGTTAGCTGGGTTTTACACTGAATCACCAACACCATCTTATTCTCAACCGCCCTGCATCTCGGATTACAGCAGTAGACCTTCAGAACAAGATGACAATTTTGTGTTGCTAAAATTCAACCTCTGAAACAGTTTTTTTAATTAGCCCCACATCTTGGGTGTATCTTGGGTAAATGGCGGGCATACTTGAATGTTACTTAAAGCACCGTGTTGTGTTTACCTTAATGCTCTGCACTTGACTGCATTCCTTGAAAAGTGGTTTTCCTACCAGATACAGTGCCCTCTAATTATTGTCATCCCTGGTGAAGATGTTCAAAAAAACTTTAAAAATCAATTTTTATTGCAGAAGCTTGCTCTCATACTGAAAATTGTAGGAACGTTTCAGACGCCAAATCAAGCTAAACAGAAGAGGACAGAGGAGAGGACCCAGGTCGCTTGAGGATTTTGAGATATTGTGCAAAGAGGAATGGTCGAAGATCACAATTTTGCAGGAGAAGATTAGGCGCTCTTTTGTTTAAAATGGGTTTTTACAAGGTATTAACATCAGGTGTGTTAATAATTGTGTCACACGTGATTTGATGTAAAACAGGTATTTCTTAACATGGTATTTTTTCCGCCTCTAGTTTTTTAAAATGTTTTACTTTGTGTGTGTGTGTGTGTGTGTGTGTGAGAGAGAAGCGAAAGAATCCATTTTAACTGGGGTTGCCATTAATTATGGAGGGCAGTGTATTGAAATGGAGATTATTTTTCAGCTTGATTTTTTTTTTTCATTTTATTTTAGTAATATTTTTCCCCATTTTATTGTGCAGTCTGTATCACATATTTTTAAATGAACATAGAAAAAAAATCCCATAAAATTGCCTTTAATTTCCTGTAATTTTAAGTAAAAATGCTCTACTGGGATAAACTAAATTTGTTGTATCAGTATTTACATTTTTGTCCATATCACACACTTAACAGAGGTAATAGGCTGTACAAATTCTTGGGTGTTGTGTTTTACAACATCAAGCTCTGCTTCATGAACTCGTACACGTTTTCGTGGACATTCCTTAATTTGGGTCCATTTCCCAAACCAATTTTATTGATCATTATTAAGAACAATTTCAAATGTAATACCGTCTTTGTTACTGATTTGTTGCTTTGCTTTACTGTTGTATATGTTAGTTGCTCCATGTACAGCACTTTGTGTGCAGCACTGGCTGTTTGAAAGTGCTCTATAAATACATTTGAGTTTGAGATAATCGAAATGTCTTCATCATTCAGTCAAACTGGGGACATATGAGGTCACGTCTTTCCACTTGGAGGGCGTTCTGGCCAATGAGGACTCAAGATGAAAATTTGTATGTGTAGCCTGACATCTTGTGGACATGATCAGCTATTACGCGCACATTCACAAAACACAATCACAGCCCGACTTCTACCGTTAAGACACCCTGTAATCCAATGTATCTGCATAATTGCCACTCTAAGACTCTCTTTGCTGTGATATCAATTTATTACTTAATATTCATCACTGCTTTGATTAGAATTTAACAATAGTCTAACATTGCCACAATGTCCCTACCTGTCCATCAGTGAATGACTTCAATTATTGTTGAGTTCTTGTCAACACTTAATTCTGTCAAATTGGTTTTCCCCCTTCTCACACTCAAAATGCCTCCCTTGTTGTCATGGTTTCCTTCTGACATCAGTTTCATGTTATCCTTTTTTATGACAATCGCTTCCTCCCTTTTGCTCATTCTTCATCCGTAGAAACTGAAACGTCTGATTCCAGATGAGGTAGGTTTTGTAACTGCCTGCCACCAACACTTGTCTGCTTGCCTCATTCACCTTGTCATCTGTAAATAAACAAACTCACCTTGCCACTCTTTGTTTGTCACAATCTAATCCACCCTAACACACTTGTTCAAACATATTTGTTGTTGAGTGCACTCAAGTTGGGTGTGCATGCTTTTGGAGATGCATCTTAACTACTGCAAAGTTTATACAACTAATTTCCGATTTGGCAGTCAACATTGCATACATTGTGTGCACCCAAGGGAAATTAGTACCTGCGTTGTTTAATAACAATTCCTTTGCACCTGCATGTTCCGTCAACATGTTGACTTTGTTTGGCAGTTTGTTGAGATAAATATTTTAAATAATCCCTAATCAATACTAGGAAGTTGTTGAAATGAGGTTTCCATTGATGTACAAAACATCCTAAAAAAACAAATTTACTCAACATTTTTCAGGTCATTTTCTGACCACGAATTGATTAGGGATTGCTTGCTGCCTGTTTCCTTTTTGTAGCTTTTCATTCTCAACTCCCCAGTCTAACTTGTGCCATTTTGCCTGCAAATCTAGTTGGAACGTTTTACCAGCATGAGGATAAAGAAGGACAAGGAGAAGCTCAGCCACGTGCCAGGTCAGCGTCATTCTGCAGCCGCCAACTATGAAATCAACGCGCCTAGTGCCATGCTGCACGACCATACCGATGAATACGTCCTCGAACTTTTTGAACAGATGCTGGTGAGAAAGCCATTTCACTCTCCGTCTACTCTAGCTGCATATGGTGTTTCAGAGACGTAATCGCGATCGAATAAAGACCCTTCTATCTTTTAACACACCTTTCATAGTAGTAAGTGAACCTGAATGTTTGAAAAGCAGATCGTGTTTGTTGCCTGCTCAAGTTTACGGATTTTTCATCATAATAACCAATGTCATCAATCTTGTTTGTGTTGTTTAGGTGGATATGAACCTGAATGAGGAGAAGCAGCAGCCTCTCAGGGAAAAAGACATCACGATTAAACGTGAAATGGTCTCTCAGTACCTCCACACATCGAAAGCGGTCAGTAAAAAAAAAAAAAAAAAAAAAAATCCAGCCTATTAAGTGACTCAGGACCCCTTGAGCATTAAAATTCAACACAACTCGCCAAGTTTATCCTTTTCTATCTAATTTTGATACATGATTTCCGCGATTAACTCGGATCTTTTGACTTTGTTCAGCAGCTGTAAACAAGTCCATACACTTAATTAGCAGCTACGCCGAGTAGCTTACACTACTACTCGTCCCGGTGCCGACAGACCACAATTATTATTTTGTCCTTCGTTGTTTGTCCACTTGTTACCTGGCAATTATGTAACTTAGTAAGCACATTCTCCAAACTGTTTAGCTCCTGTGTGGCTGTACAGATTTGGAAACTATATTAAATTTAGTGTTAGCGTTGCTAGAATAGCTCAACTCACGTTTGAGGTGACCACAGTATATCTCGTATCCTCGTTTAGCAAACGTTTTGTGCTTCTGTCAGCAACGGAACTATTTCTCTTTTAGTTGAAACAAGGCACCTCCCTGCTGGTTGCATTTGGGATTGGCCGAATGTGCGTGGCTGGAAGTCACGTAACTCAGGGGCCCCCAAACTTTTTTGCCCCACGGACCGGTTTATGTCAGACAATATTTTCAGGGACCGGCATTTAAGGTGTGGCGGAAATAATACAATGAAATAATATGGTATGAGCTGCATGAAAACTGGCGTTTTCGAAATATAATTATAAAATCAAGGAGCGTCTAATCTGGCCGCAACACTCCGATCGCTATGGCAATGTTTAATGCCTTCAAAATACGATACAACGCAAATTCAAAGTGCATGAAAATGACGACTCACCACAGCACCGAGCTTGATTTTCTGCAACCAGATGGTCCCATCTCGGGGTAATAGGAGACAATGACACCTCAAGTGTGTGGTTTATGTCCAGTCTACTTCGAAATTTTGTTTTCGTCGCCGTTGCTGCAGAAACCCCCCGCCTCACACAGGTAGGATGTTGGAAATAGCAACAGTGCTATTGTGGCGATCTCAGAGTATTCAGCCATAACTTTAATCCAGTTGTCTCGAACGTACTTTT